ATTTTACACTATCATCTGGTATGTTACAAACATAATCCAACCATTGTATACACTTTTCTTTTAAAAATGTTTATTTGGCTTTTTATTTTATTTTTTATTTTGTTGTACCTCTACCCAGTATTTTCATGGATGTAATGCATTCTAGTATAGATGAAACCTTATAATTCCCACATGTGTTTTTAGTGTAGGCAAACAGTAATAGCTGCTGCTTGTAAAGACTTTTCAAAACCCAAGTTTCAGAAAAAAAGACCCCAAGACCCAAAAAGAGCAGTTCCCGTGGTGTAGTGGTAAGACGCTCGCCTGGCATTTCGCGAGCTCTTATGAGCTCGATATGAACCCAGGAGCTCTGAAGCTCCTGGGTTCATATCCTGGCCGGGGAGTATTTACTGGGCATCAATCTTTAACTGTAGCCTCTGTTTACCCAACAGTAAAATGGGTACCTGGTTGTTAAAACGATTTGGTGGGGTTGCATTCTGGGGAACATAGGATTAAAGACATGCCCAAAACGCTACGAGTGCTAGTGGCTGTACAAGAATGTAATAACTCTTGTACTGTATATATAAATAAATAAAATAAAATAAAAATAAAGTTAACAAAAATATGAAGACAATGTAAGGCCTATGATTACATTTTAACTCTTCTTGTTTTCTTTGATATGGAGCTTTGTTGAGTCATACTGCATGAAAGAGGTACCATCTCTTTAATATTATAAGCTCATAACCTTACTGAATTAAATAAAAATTAATTTACAATTTGTTTAGGGTAAACATAGGATATCAAAGTTGCTCAATCGAATACCCACAATACAAGAATGATTAAATAATTTTTCCCAGGAAACTAATGCTTTTAATACATTTATACTGTACAGTACAACCATTTATTTTAGTTATTATAATGTTGGATGAAACATGTTTAGGTTAATGCCACATATTCATAACTGATGATGTTTGAGTGTATGTATAATGGGGATATTTATAACAATTTAAATATTACTGCAGAATTACATTTAAGGCCTGTATCAACACCTAAATTCTAGATATGGAACAAATTAAAAAAAACTATAACTGCCAATCACTATTAATTTAAATACTTTCCAAAATGTACAAGATACAACTAAATAAGTTTATTGTTATTGCTATAGAGGCATTTTTTTTAAGGTTACACATGTTCAATCTTCACTTAATTTATCTTTTTGCCCAATTATGCAATGAACTAACAAAATCTTTACCAATATAATTGACATAAAAGCTTAATAACTTCACTTTTCTAAAAGCACGCGAGCATCTCGTACAACATTTCAAAAAAATATAAAAAAATCCAGAGCAAAATAAAATGATCATAAATGCCACGTGAAACAATAACTGCATCTTCATGCATGCAAGAAGTTAAATATTTTACTGTGACAGATGCAAACATTTATTATTATTATATTCTATTATATTATTTTGTATTATTATTATATTATACCATCTATTATAAGTATATTAAATGTAAAATGTTTAAATATAATTATATAGCTCACATTTGAGAAAAGTATCACACGATTTTAAGTGTTTAAAAAATAAACATCAGGTGATGACAGATGCCATGGGAAACTAAGCATACTGTACTGCAATGCCTAACAGCTGGTAACCAGCTGCATGCATGCATGCATCCTTCTGCACATCGCATCTTCAAAATCCTCTTATTATGGCAAGTTGCATTTGAGATTTTTTTTTAGATTAAAAGGGCACAGGCTTATATAGTGCTCAGGTATAAATAAAATCACTATTAAATTAAACAAAAGCAACGATACTGTACTTGTTCTTATCAAAATCTTTAAAGTTCTTTTTCTCACTTTTAAAGAAGTGCCAAATTAATAGAGATATTAAGAAAAGGCCTAAGCTAGAGAAATAATGGAACTCCTGTAATTTGATAAAAACATTCATTTATAATCCATATTTAGTTATACAAAGAGAAAAACACAACCAACAGCTAATTTTAAAGCTGAATAAAATAACATTGCAGTTTTCCATTATGCAAATGCCTCTAACACTAAAATGAAGCAATACCTCAATTGTGAGCAATAACTCAATCCAATTAGCCAAGGCTTCATAAAAAAATGGAATAAAAAATTTATTAAAAAAAATCTGTTGCTTTGAATTAATTGATGAATCATTGTTAGAGCAAAGCAATGCTGTGCAGAACATTCTTTCCCACACAAAACTGAACTCATAAATGACTTGTAACATTTAAATTTTGCAAACTCTTCAGTACTATTTTACATTCTTGAAAATATTATTACAAAATAAAAATAATATGCATATAGTATGCCTATTATATAATAGGCATACTATATGCATATTAAATAATATGCATTACTATCAACACCATATCTTGTGAATGTGCATGTATTCATGTATATGTTACTATTTACACTGACATGCAGCTACTGAAAAAGAGCTATATTCAGTGTCCCATCTCTTAAATATATGGTAACAGTGTAAACAAATTTCTATTTCATAAGCTGTGTGTGTGTGTGTGTGTGTGTGTACTCACCTAGTTGTGTTTGCTGGGGGGTTGAGCTCTGGCTCTTTGATCCCACCTCTCAACTGTCAATCAACCAGTGTGCAGATTCATGAGCCTACTGAGAACTATCATATCTACATTTGAAACTGTGAATGGAGTCGGTCTCCACCCCATCACTGCCTAATGCATTCCATCTGTTCACTACTCTGACACTAAAAAAGTTCTTTCTTACATCCCTGTGGCTCATTTGGGTACTTGAGTTTTTACCTGTGTCCCCTTATTCGTGTACCACCCTTGTGTGTGTGTGTGTGTGTGTGTGTGTGTGTGTGTGTGTGTGTGTGTGTGTGTGTGTGTGTGTGTGTGTGTGTGTGTGTGTTACCTGCAGAGTCTTAAGTTCAAGTGCAATCTAAATGAATACAGCAAAGTTATACTAAATGGAACATTTAAGAAATGTTATTCAAATCAACAATTACAGAACAAAAATTATAATGTAATTGAATTGTATGTTGATGTATAGGTATAAATAATGTACAGTACTGTACAATCCAAACTACTGTAAATGTTTATTTTGTTTTTGTTTTTATCTATACAGTATACAAGAGCTCTAGTATAAAGCCAATAAGCCAATAATGGCTTAAACGATTTTTCTTTAAGACTGGGTATTAATATTAATAATAAGACTGGATATTAAGCTATGTACAATTCAAGTACAGTACAGTATATGGTATGATATAATACAAAATGAATAAAGACAAAGAAACTTAAACAAAACTTTGTTTTAAAAGTACAGGTACTATTTACACCTGCTAACACAGTAGAGTGTACAGTTCTGATACAGTATTCATCATAACACTGTGTTATTCATCTGGCTATTTGTTATTCAGCTGGCCATTCACAATAAGTATGCCTTCAGTGTGCCTCATACTTTTTAGATTTCATTCTCTCCAAGTCAGCCAGAAAACTTGACTTAGGCTACAGCAGACTGTGTTTCTAAATTGTAATTTGCTTGATAACTATTATACAAGATTTTGTAGCTATTTCATACATAGTAAATAAGTAATTCTTAAAAAAGCAACAGAGTATTGCACTGTAATATAATATCTTGGTAAAGTTGTAATTTGTTGAGAAGAATTTCATTATTATATTATTCTGAAGATATCCAATACAAATTTATAAAAGTAGTTCATTAAAAGGCAAGTAGCATAATTGGTAATTCAAAATCTAAATACTGTCAACACCACAGTGTCTATATACAGTATATTACTGTATATATATACAGTACTGTAATTGTAAAAAAAAAAAAAAAATTACCTGCTCAACAAAGTACTTTCTGCAAGATAGCAAGTAGTAAGATTTCCATTTACTGTATGTCACTTAATCACACTGAGGAACAGCATCCATTAATTAGAAAAATATGTAAATTTAACACCAACAAAACCTGTGTATCTAGGCTAAACTATGTCAATTTGTATTAATAAATTATAATATAAAATCCAAATTACTGTACAAACAGTACTAAATGTATCATAAAAGTGAAGGAAAAACCAAAATACTGTACAGTACATGTACTGTACATTTGAACCCAATGACACCAAGAGGATTCATAACCTATGGAGCTCCAACCAAACTTTCAGATAAGAAGTTGGAGTAATCCACAGGAACCAAAATGCCTTTACAATTTATTATTAAAGTACTCTATATTTAAAGCTGAAGAGATCCAAATATTGTACATTGGAACCTCTGAAACCCAACTGCACTCCATCTATATATCCCAACTGTGTTTGCAATTCAAGAATCTCTATATTTCATTCACAACCAATGAGCCCTAACAACACTCAATAGTCAAAACAATTACCAAATTGCCGTTTTAATTAAATTCACATCAACGTGGATAAAAAATAACGAATAAAAAATAAAATAAAATAATAAATACAAGAACCTTCATGTCCCACGCCCCCCTTCCAATAAACTGATATTATTGCAATTTTGAATGCACGATTTTAAAGCATGTGTAAACACTTCAATCATTTCTGAAAATGTTACTGGAATGCTCTAAAGAGCATTATTGGTTTAATGTAATAATAAAACGTGATTTTTTTGTACTATTAGTATCAGAGATATGGAAAATATAACATATATCATGCATATGTGTGAAAACTTACAAATTCCCTCTAAACACAAGGGGAAAAAATCTTGTTGATCAAGTAGTATGCTTACACTGTATATACTGAGACTGATCAAGATACAGCATAGCATATTGCTACTGTACCCACACACGACCCAAATAAAAAAAATCACTAAGTGGTTGTCTACTAGGCCAGGATAGACTCATGCTGTTCCAATAAGAATTATAAAATGAACTATCCACAAGTATGATGGAGTCATACTGGGAAGACAGCTACTGACAATATATGTATATATATATATTTGATGACTAGCAATGTTTTAAATGGAATAATCACAAAATGATAAAAAAAAAATCTTCACGTTACCTTGGTCTTCTAGCAGAGCTGACTCAAGACCTTGGGTAGGTGAACTTGTTTGAAGCTAAGTCTCATAAAAACACAAAAGTATAAAAATCACTTTAGTTACTTGCCAAGTTAATATCTTCTGAAATACAATAATTATACAATAATTACTTTTCTCAGTGTATTGCCAGTATAGACAACACATGCACTTTCACAATCGACACCTCTTTCTCATGATCGTGGCCTGTATCTCACTTCAATAGGCTATATATATATATTCTTTTGCACTAAAACTCTTAGGGGAAATCATTCTCTGCTTGAGCCTTGTCAATATTCTATTAATTCTAAATTAATTATAAACAAAATAAAAATATTTGTACCAAATTAAAAAATACAAGTACCTGTAATGCCAATGGGTAATGAATCGCAAGCAGATGAAAGCATCAAGCACTCTTGCGAGGGGGGCGCCCAAACACCAAACTCGGAGAAACAACGGTAATGCTTGATGTAACTATTTGCTAAAACACACAATGTCTTGTAGAGTTCACATCAAAGTTGTATGATCAACTGATCACACTGCCACTTGCTTTCGATAAACATTATACGGATGGAACATCCAAGCAATGCAGACACATCACAAGAGAAGAGAGAAGTTTTCGCTCACTAAAACAATAACAAAAACTGACACAATTGTACACCACATTTACATAAATCCGTCAATATTAACTGAGTAACTACGGGAATGTGAGACACTGCGTGCGAGACCCACTGGAGCACAAGTTGTGAGTAATGATGTAGAGGGAGCGGGAGCGATGCAGCAAGCATCCCCCTAGACTAGTGGGCAGTGGGGGACTGGTTGGTGGTGGTGGCGGAGCGCGGCCACCACAGTCTACTGCTGGCACAGATACCACTCACACTCTGCTTGGCTGGCAGCCTGCCTCTCTGTGCTGCCTCCTCCTCACTCTCACACTTCTTGTCACCTCCACTCAGCAATCAATACAAGCACAGCACTGTCTGCTTGCAGGAGGCAAGGCCTGCCAGGAGGAGGGCGAGTGCTGGGTGGAGGGGAGGTTTGTGGAGGGGTATGGAGGAGCGCGGGTGGCGAGGGCGTGTACTGTGGGCGTGGGACACCCAGTAGCGGCAGCCTGCAGTAGCACCACCACCAGCAACGAGCTCGGCGCGGCACTGCTCACCTTGGCCGCTGCAACACTGCACCACCAGTGCCGCCTCCACCACCTCACCTTATCTCCGCACGCAAAACTCCCTACGCTCGACCCGCGCCACCACCGCGTTACCTGCACCCGCCACCGCCGCGCAAGCACCACGCTCAACGCTACTGCTTCGCCCGCTGAATGCAACTGCAAACCGCAAATGTCAAGCACGCAAAAAACCGGCCACATTCTCTGTAGCAAGCAAGGCTCCAAAAATTTCGCTACGACGTACTCCATTCGTAAGATGTCTCTAAGAGTCATTATATACGAAAAGGAGTCATTTGCTGCCTTACGTAATACCTAGAATACTTACCGGTATAAATATAACATTAAACATTCAGTAGTGGTCATACATTTGCCGAAATCTCATCGAAACCTTTAACTCCTCAATCGGAGTTTAGCTCCTTCGACTTCCTGGAATCTTTGTCTCAATAGACGACAGAAGGAAGAACAAGTGACGAGCGTCCTCGGGGCCCATAGCGGGTCGCTGGGTGCCCCAACACTCTCCTCGAGCCGCGACGCGCCTTCACGCGCTCACTCGACTCTTAAACTAAATCCCATTTTCTCTTCTTATATTATACCCTATGTTTGAATACCTTCTATACATCGCAGAATTAACACGTTTCTAAAGATTTCTCGAATATGCGGCTTGATCAGTTAATCATCTTGGACACTTATTCATTCGAGAACGGAATGTCTATACATGACATAGTCACCTTCATGAATTACAGCCTTTGTTGTTCAAGTGCAAAACCACATGTGAAACATGTGGAGGCCTACTGAAGAGTCGCCATATTACCTTTAAACATACATTATTATTTGCTTACATTGTAAATCGCGAATATTTATTAAGAAAGGAAATAAAAGAAGAGTAGCTTTTAAGTTTCCTATAATATTTAAAAAATATCTTATATATTAAGTAACCGTAAATAATTTATATTAATTTATCAAGCCTCTGGCAATTGTAATTCTGAGGCCTGACTCGCAGAGAAGGGTAGGCATGTTTCGGACGCGTTATTTTGCAACACATTTAAAGAACAATTACCCGCAAGTCAAGCGCGTTAACACCACTATCACGCTGACGAGAGCGAGCACATACGGGCGACAAGCGACGAAACCAACTGTTCCCGTGAAATAAAACAGGGCTAGAAACGGTGTGGAAATTGGTAGGTTGCAACCAGCCGTACTGTCAACACCCTGGTATAGGTTACACGTGATGCCGGAGGGAGGGGCTATGGTCCGCCCGCCGGCAAGTGCGCATATATTGTCTTCTCGATTGGATCTCCTAGACACACAGCACCGCTCCTGTGCCAGTTAAGTACACTGCGGGCTCACCATAGCCCGTGCTACTTGCCCTGCTCCTGTGCCAGGTAAGCTACGGGCTCACCATAGCCTGTGTTACTTGCCCCGCTCCTGTGCCAGGCAAGTACACTACGGGCTCACCATAGCCCGTGCTACTTGCCCCGCTCCTGTGCCAGGTAAGCTACGGGCTCACCATAGCCCGTGCTACTTGGAACTTGTTCTCAGTAGTTGAATCTATAACAACAACAACGATTGGATCTCCTTTCATCCAATCTACTGCCTCGCAGTTGTAGCCAACGTTCGGTTGAATAGATTGAACGCTCCCGGAATTTTTTATTATTATTATTTTTTTTTAGTCGAAACAATCGTGGTCGTCTGTGCAATGATGATGTAATAAATTCCTTCTGTTCAGTTGAAGGCTAACTAAAAGTTTAAGCTGGCCTTTTGCAACCCGTCATTATTGACGATGTAAAGTATTTGCCAGCCTTGATTGCAATGCAGTTTACATAGTTTCGATGATCACAGCTTACTAATATATGTGTTGATACCATCCTGCCGCGTGCATTGTTTACGAATGAGGCTACTCTAAACGCTATGCCTCAGTTATAGGGCTTGTTAGATTATTCGTTAATGACCATATATATATATATGTCGACATTCAAAGACTTTTAGTAGTGAAACTGTACACATTAGTCAATACTAACATTTCTGGGACCATTAATTTTAATTGCAACTTTACGTCGTAGTGTATGTCTCTCGCGCACACACATTAAAAACACATACACATATTAATTTATGTAAATACATATTAAGGCAGAAGCAAGAATATTGTTCAACTTTAAATACAACTGGAGAAACTAATCAGATGAGTTTCTGGGGGGAACCCTACACAAGCCTCAGGCTTCCTGTCCACGCCAAGGCCATTGCCTACGGTGGCAGTCAAGTATATACAGGTTAATATATATATATATATATATATATATATATATATATATATATATATATATATATATATATATATACATATACATATATATATATATATATATATATATATATATATATATATATATATATATATATATATATATATATATATATATATCTCATCAGCCCGTCCACCTGTTTAGGTAGTACTTATAATAATGATGAGGACCTCGAATTGTGTGCCTTTATTTGTGTATCTATCTCCATGTCTCTGTCTCAATGTCTATGATTGAGTGAGACCCAATTTCCTGAACCGATTATGTGCCTCTGTAACCCTTTCCACCCCCACGGGATGGGTATGGGGTTCATAATAAATAAATTAAATGAAAAATTATGATCAATCCGCTGTCTTCGGGAACGTAAACAGGTTGAGGGGAGACGCTCGACAAAACATAGCAGAGTATATCTATCTATATATATATATATATATATATATATATATATATATATATATATATATATATATATATATATATATATATATATATATATATATATATGTGTGACAATGTCAGACCTCTATATATATATATATATATATATATATATATATATATATATATATATATATATGTGACAATGTCAGACCACGGAGGAAAAATGAAACAGGAAATTTCCTTCAATTTAAGGAAATTTCCTGTTTCATTTTTCCTCCGTGGTCTGACATTGTCACATTCTTAATCACGTGTTTATTTTCGTGATATACACACATATATATATATATGTGTGTGTGTGTGTGCGAACAAGCTTGAATGGTCCCCAAGCATATATGCAAATGAAAACTCCACACATCAGAAGTGACTCGAACCCGGACCTCCAGGAGTACATTGCAACTGGTGTCACGGTGCCCTAATCCACTCGACAATCAGTGACCGAACATAAGGAGGTGATAGCCGAAGCTATTTGACCACCCCCCTGGCGACACTTTGATGATAATATTGGGCATAGTTATTTCATCAGTTTTTTTATTAGTACATCCAAGAGCTAATAACAAAAACAGGAACCTCTTTAAGCACCAGCGTATATACAAAACCTACCAACATAGGATTATGCCTGAACGGTAAGAGTGAGTGCCCCCAAAGATACAAAACCAGTGTTCTCAATGCTTATATTCGACGAGCGCTTACACACTGCTCCGAATGGAGTAATGTGAGTTGAGAGTTTGAAAGAATAACTCAGGTATTGGTGAACAATGGATATAGCAACACGGAAATAAACACCGTTATATGAAGACACCTGGACCGATGGTACAATCCTAAACCTAGAACAGAAACCACAACACCTCCAATAATATATATATATATATATATATATATATATATATATATATATATATATATATATATATATATATATATATATATATATATTTTGGAAGGGAGTACCACCTCTAGCTGGAAGAAGGGGGACCCATAGCCTCGGAGGAAACCACGCATAACGCATTAGAGGGAATGTTTAGATCCCCTCCAATACAGTTTCTGTGTGCTTTTCTCCTACCTATATATATATATATATATATATATATATATATATATATATATATATATATATATATATATATATATATATATATATATATATGCATCAGAAAACTCTTCTCCGTGAAAGGTTCGAACCCCACAACGGTTGACAAACTTCCGGGCATCTATTTACTGTTTGTTGAACAGACGCATCAGGTGAAAAGAAATGTGTCCAATCATTTCTGTCCTTGCCGGGATTCGAACCCGAGATTCCAGATTGTTAGCCAAGAACGAACCCAACTGTACTACGGATACCCTGACATATTCAAAGGCTTCCTGCCCCATACAAAATCCAATTATAAATTAAAGAGCAAGTTTGAAACTTTAGCTACAAGTGAAGGTGTTAAACGAGGACATCAGTCCCATGAAGTTTGCTCAACTGACAGCTAGAACTGTCAGATCCAGGTTCCAGACCTTAACTGGAAGCTGGATATGACACAGTAATACCAGAGCCCATGACACCGAGGTGGCCCCAAGACACGGATGGGGCCCACGACACCGATGGGGCCCATGACAGAGCCCTCTCTCCACCTCTCCAGTGGCAGACAACACGAGGACACACGCCTCGCCGGCTCCACTCTCCCCGGATATCTAGCATGATGATTCCGGCGATTTCATGGTCCTTAGGGAAAAAGTATAAGCTCCTTCAGATTCACCTTAACTAGCAAGCTGTCTTGCTGTTGTGTTCTCATTGCAATACAATAGCCAGATACAGCCTACAATTTTGTGTTTTTAGATAGAAATGGATTGCCGTAAATTCCACTGTGAACGTGAACGTATTTTGCTGTGTGGAAGTAGAGTTTGGCAGGTGGTCCCCTACGCCCTCCTCCTCGCCTTAACCCGACCCCACTGGTCCCCTCCTCCCATGTGCCACTTCGTAGAAAATAACTTCCTTTCTAACTAGGAGCGTACGACCACAAGTAGTCCATCGAGGCCCCACGCAGAGAAAACATCACTGATCACAATGCTTACTAATATGATCACAATGATCTTACTAATACTTCGCATGTTTAGTGAATTGGTCGATTTCGTAAGTGTCTCTCTACCTATCTACCTGTCTACCTCCTGCTCTATACATACACCTACCTCTTACACTCTCACTCATTATAGTTCTCCTGTCTACAGTGAGTATATGCACCTGTCTCTCTCTCTCTCTGCGAGTTTTGATGAGGTGTTGGATTTTCTGGGGTTCAGGACACTAGTTGGATGGGTGACTGGGACGAGGGCTGAACAGCAAGGGGGGCCAGCTACTGTGTCATTTTTC